CAAATTTCAATGTCACCAACCACAAGGAAGAAAGAAAGAAAAGACTACTCTAGGTGACTGTGCTCTACCTATTAGCAATTTACTTAGATAAATTAATAACCGTTGAAAATACATGCTAATTAAGAAGATAGACATTTCCCCAGTACTAATTTTAAGTAGTTTAGATTGGATGGGGGGGCTCATGGAATTTTAGTCCATTGAGCTAAGCAATCTCTCTCCCTCTCCAATTGGAAGATGGTTCCTCCAAACTCTACGGCTTAAATAAGCCCAAACTTTGTGGAAATAAAAGAAGGAAAAGATTGGTTCTTCCTGATATCAATTTCCACAAGAGCTCTCTCCTTTAATTTAGTTTATCTAGTAGAAAATGAAAAAAATATTCTGACAATTTGGTACAAATTCACACGAGAAAGTAAGCCCAAACTTTGAGGAAATATTAAACAAGGAAAAAAAAATCTTTAGGTTAGGTGTACTTTCTTAATTTCAACTGTAGAAATTTCTAGCAGTGCTCATTTATTTAGTTTATCTAGCAAATATTATATTATATCACTTAAGAATTGATTATGGTTAACTAACACACAGGGACACAATATTTTTTTTATTTTATAAATTAATCCTTCAATGTGGTACAGAGAACCGAAGAGACTGAAGGGGGACCATTTGTGCCCACCCAATGTCTTCATCTTCAAAGAGCCTATAATATCTAAGTTCAGAGTTTTAGTTTGTTTTGACTATATATATATATATGATCCAAATTTGAAGTTTTACACCCAAAGTAAAAAAGATTTTGTTTTGTTTGGCTAACAAAGAGAAAAATAATTGTAAGGGCTTGCAGCTCAAGTGATTAAGAGCAATCAGCCATGCACCCGAGGTTTTAGGTTCGCTTCTCCCTCCTTTAATATCGCTTGTATTTTAAAAATAAAATAAAAGTAAAATAACTTGTTCATGGTCTCAACTATATATATACATTTTTTTTCTTCAATAAATTTATGAAACAACATATAATTGGGTGTGTTTGGAAAGGACTGGTTTCTAAGGTCAGTATCTTTTCATTTCCATATTCAAGGATAAGAAAACAATATTTATGATGATATCAGATAATTGTACAGGCAAGAAATAAAGACCAACTTGAGTTTATAGGACACAAATATATATATATATACATAATAAGATTTATATATTCTACTTCCCAGTCTAACACAATCTGCTCTAAGTCTTAACTGGTAGTTGGGATATGAAGAGCTCTCTCTCTTTCTCTCTCTCTCTCTCTCTGAAGGGTAGCTAGATTGATGGACTGGCTGACTCTTCAATTTTCTTCTCAGAAAACAATACCAACCGAGCAGGATATAAACCCTTCTCTCTCATTGTAGCATCAACCGACAGTCAAGTCTTTCTCACTAATATCTCATCCAAGAGCAAATAAAACCCATCATCTCTCTGAGTCTCTCTATATCTTTCTTTCTTTCTTTGTTTCTCTGCTACACGACATGGCTCCAAAGAAGAATGAAGGATTGACAAAAAGAATTATGAACAAAGGCGCATGGACAGCAGTGGAAGATAGAAAACTTGCAGAATACATTGAGATTCATGGTGCAAAGAGATGGAAGACAGTGGCTTCCATAGCAGGTTAGTTTTGAGCTTACATAGTGAAAAACAAAAAACAAAAAACAAAAGGGTTAATTGAAGCCAATACACAAACCACATTAATTTCTTCTTGATTTTAACTAAACCTGGCTTCATTTGTTCAAATAATTCATTGTTGTATTGCTGCTGCAGGTTTGAATCGATGTGGGAAGAGTTGCAGATTGAGATGGTTGAATTATTTGAGACCCAACATTAAGAGAGGCAACATTTCTGATGATGAAGAGGACTTGATACTTAGGCTTCACAAGCTACTAGGAAACAGGTTAGTCATCATCCACATTTTTCGTGTCACATCAATTTGGACCCCACATTCAAATAAAATTAAACACCAATTTAAATTATCAGACCGTCTGATAAGAGAACTTTTAGAATCTAACATACGACATACATGTTGTATTGTGTAGGTGGTCTTTGATTGCCGGAAGGCTTCCTGGGCGAACAGACAACGAAATAAAGAACTATTGGAATTCTCATTTGAGCAAAAAAATCAATCATAAGGAGAAAACACTGCAGAATTCAAGAGCTCAAGAGACTGCTACACCTTCCCAGAAAGACAGCGGTACTGAGGGGGATGAAGAAGAAGGAGGAGGAAAAGAAAGTGTGATGAACAATTCGGATGTTAATTTCGATGTAAATGAGTTCTTTGACTTCTCTGCTGAAGGCTCCTATGGGCTGGAATGGGTGAACAAGTTTCTTGAGCTTGATGAAGACACCATGAATTACAGTGAAAAGGTCAGCAATATTATGTAGCTAGTATTATGTGTAGGCTCTAGTTTTTCTCTCATAATTGAGAAATGTAAGAAAGAAAGAAAAATAAAAATTGGTGTATGATGAAAGTGTGAATCTTCTGTACAATTTAAATAAAAATTGCCCAGTCTCTTGAATATATTTGTCCAGCCATTTATATTTATATTTTATAGGAGATAATTAATAAATATTTGTGAACGCACGGAGCACTCAATGCCCCTGTTCTGTGGTATTGTGGCCAATGCAAACAAGCCAGAAGTACTATATATAAATATAAATATATATATAGTATTATATTATTTGACAAACAAAGAGAATATCACTTACTTCAACTTAATATCTATAGAATTGAATCATTCAATTCAAAACTAATTGACAATATCTCATCGAGAATCATTTTGTTACGTAAAAATGTTCGAAATATGACTTGAGTTTATATTAAAAAGAGAACTAAATGAAAAAAATAAGCTACCTCATTTTGAACATTGGATCTAAATGTAAACCCTTTTTCCTGATCATATTCTGAATCTAAACCTTAAACCCCAAATGTTGTTTAACCTTTAAATTTAAAAAAGACCAAATTTTTTCAGAGGAGATGCATATATATATATATATATATATATAGGGCTTCCGTTGAGGGATTCTTTAAATAAGTTTATTTGAGGGATACCCTTATAGGGCCCACTACGCATTGTATTTCATTAATCCAAACCGTCTACTTTGTAGATATTCATTCAAAAATCATCTATATAAAAAGTACTTGAATCCGATATCATTTGACCATTGCAATGGGCGGTGGAATAGTGTGGACTTCATCACTGGATCCATTTCGTTCCATTTGTTTGACCTCAAGAGTGCCTCAATTAACTGTTAATAGTGTTTTTTCAGAACACAATCAATTGTCAATTAAATATTTATAGATGAGGACCTTCCTTCCAATGTCTTGATAGCCTGAGCCAACATAAATGTAAAGAGTGAACTTGTATAAATAAATAAAAACTTCAAACAGGTGTCTACTTGTATTAAAACAATACCCAACCCAACACCGTTCACGTTCTATCCATGAAAACCCAGCAGACATCATGCTTGTTCAAGCTAAACATAGCATCTCCCGGTACTGCCGTTCATGCGACTGGATTAGATTTTAATCCTGGTCTGGTGGATTCTTGCTTCTAAGCTTGAGACGAAAAATGGCCATTATGAAGAGGGTTAGAGGTTCACGAGGAAAATGAGACAAGATAAGGAGTGGCGGAGCCAGGAATTGTTGATGCAAGAGGCACTTTAGAGCATACACAGTGAGAGGGTGTAAATTCGGGAGTGTAAAGCCACTTTTACATCCCCTTTACACATCCGGGGAGTGTAAATATGTTTTTTGCTTCAGTGGGGGGTGTAAATTCGGGGGTGTAGCTGTGGGTCCTAGCATTTTATGTTGACTTTTCTTCATTTTTCTTCTCTTTTCTCTGGTGGGTCCCGCCTACAAGGGATGTAAAAATACATGTAAATATACATTTTATTTTACATCCTCATGGTAGTGATGTATATTTACATCCATTTACATCTTCCCATTGGAGACGATTCCGGTGACTCGGGGTGTATATTTAACATATACCCCCATACCCCCACTGTAGATGCTTTTAGAGAATTAATTCAGGTTTTTTTTTGCTCTGTGATAATTTACTTTGTTACGAAGTTCTAAATTTTGGCATCCCTTAGCTTGTTACATATTAATAATTAAATAATCACTCGTATGAACAAAATAAGGGGAACAAAATAACACATGCTAGAACGAAAATATATAAGAATAGAAAATGGAAAAAGATTAGGTTTGACAAAAGTGAAGAATACACGTCAAAAACAAAAAGTCAGAATGTAATCCAGTTTCACTCAGCTGCATCTAATTTTTTTTAAATTACAATGGCATGCCAACGTTGTCTAATCCAGTGAAAAATGGTCTTGACTTGCAGATCAGAGGTCTTAGGTTCGAACCACCATGACATTTGAGTTATATGAATGTGTGTGAAAAACCCCCTCCCCTCTAATTTAGACTATCACTTGTACTCAAAAAATTATAATGACACTTTTTCAATGTAATTAAGATTCTGCATTTTGAACAGTCAATGTGCACTGTGATCAAATGTGTAGAAGGCATGTACCAGTCTTAACCATACTAGAGACAGCTTCTAAAAAATTTCAAAATAGGCACACACAAAAAAACAAAAGTTGGTGCATGCTTCTAGCCAATTTGGTTAGAACTTTTCTAGAGGTACATTTCACCATTATTGACATTGATTTGTTGACCTGAGCCATCACAGAAGCAAAATGGAATTTTAGCTAATAAGTAGCCTCGGATAATTTGGAAACTTCCTTTCTTCATATTGTCCTGTATAGAGTGTAAATAGTTTGGTTTGCAATTAAGGAGCAGTGCACGTTGGTTCCAAAAGGAGTTGCACGTCAGCATCAGCCAACGCCGTTACTATTGACCACACATTCTATACATACAGCTAGCGAGGAGAAAATCTTAGGTGTAATCAGTTGTATGTGATAGGTAAGTTTTTCTCTTCGACAATGGAAGATCAACCTGTAAATGCAGACAGTCCATATACAATTATACAAAATCCAACTATCTTGTATGTATCTATATGATAACCGGTTGTATGTATACAAAATGTTTGTTCCAAAATGATTTACATGTCAGCATCAACAACTATGAACTATATTCCTTAAAATGGAAAATTTGACTTGTATAATGAAATCATATAGGATTGTTTGTATAGGGGCAATGATTTTATTTTGTAATGTACCATCTACTTGAGCTTTATCTGGGTCCAATGAAATGTCACACAGAGCTATGGAGACTCCTTCGCCTTGTCATCTTTCCTGCAATGGATGAACAAGTACATTTGACAAATGGTTAACTGTCTGAGTAAAATTTTGGTAACAGTCATTTCACATATTTAACATCAAATGAAGTCCTGAAAAGAGTTTGGAGAAGTTATGCTGTGGCTTTTGACCCAAAAAAATGAAAAGAAGTTGTGGTGGCTTTGATCTGGACCAAAAAGAAGCAACCCCATTACACAAAGTGACAATATGAAACCAGCATTGGAGCTAGCAGTCACAACAAAAACAGTAAAACATCATTTGCACTATTAGAGATGCATATTATTGAGCATACCTGCATCCCCACTTCTCATTTTGGCATCCACCCCCAGTCTTCCCAGAAAAAGTCCATCCATGTTTCAGTTCAAAGAACTTGGAACACTTTACCATGAAACCAGGCTGGAGGCACCAAATGCTGTTTGAAGTCCTTCATAAAGTCAACAGCCAAGTGCCTTAATGGACTTGCATCTTAGCCACTAGTCTCAACTCTAATCAGCTCCTTGTTCAAACTCAGCCTATTATAGAAAATCAATATCCATTAAGGACATGCTAAACACACACTAGGATTCCGGGATTTGGATCTGGTTCAATCTGCTAGACCAGATTGAATGCAGAATCATATGGAATAAATCATATCTGATTGGTCTGGGATTCCAAAGGAAATGCTTCTGCACCATTTTCACATTAATTTGCATAGTAAGGTATCTTCTCATGGGAATAGCCACTAAAATCTCTCTTAACTTGGGAATATCCTTCTCGGCCACGGCAACAGAAAATTTGCTCCAATCTAGCACATCACTCAAAGGAAGGGGGAAATTATCGGCAATAATCACTGGGACACATTCATAGTAGATGGACTCGATGATCCTTGGGCTGTTCACTTCATACCCCATTGGGCAAATACAAAATTTACTTGATTTCATATGTTGGATATAAGACATCTTTCGCGAGACTCTAAGGGGCAGAGGCCCGTAGATTTTCATGTCTTCATGTTTGTCCCGCCAGAGCTTGAGAAGTGTCGGGCGGACTCTTCCATGCATGTTTCCTGCAAAAAAGGCAAGGAGTGGGCGCTGTGATACTCTAAATCCACCAACATTTCTAAGAGGCCTCCTGGGGGTCCTAATGGTAGTTTCTGGAAGTGAAACATCCTTCCTGGCAACAAATATTCCTTCCGAGGTGTCAGCATTGCATAGAGCTTTTATAGTATTTTTGGTTAGTTCCTCATGGGCGGTTAACGTGTAAGGGCCCTGCAAAAGGTCAACAGAATGGAGGAATTTAAGTTTAAAATATTACCATGGCATCAACTTGTGTACACTAATTGGTCTTCATAATAATGGATGCTTAAATATCAGATATTAATTGAATAGATATTTACTTTAAAAAATAATTTCCAAATTGCAAACCAGGAAGCATCTTTCTCATACCTACAGATATGCACACACCTTTTCAGCTATTATGCTGACGTAGAAGCATTTCCAATCAAACTACGAAGAGAAAACATATACAATAAAAACTGCCAAGGAATTTGGAATTCTTTCTTATACTTCCTAGACAATTCAAATTTGATCACCATAGAAATCTTAGAAGTAAAAAAAACATAGAGAATAGTACAACAGACTATTACTCTTTCCAGACAGTACTCGAATATTATACTGCTATGATATAGGTGCATTGTCAAATGTAAAAGGAGGACATACATCATAATGGCTGTTACAGTATAATTATATAGCAATTTTACTATTTGTAAAATGGAAATATTTTACAACACAAAGGTGAAGCGTAGTTTGGAAAATCAGAAAAGTCAACTAGGTAACAAAACCATATAATTTGATGCCAGTAATGATTATTTCCAAGCAATGAGAAAACATTAAGCTATGTTAAAACATTACAGAATTTAGACTTGTGAAAAATTGAAGTTCATGTGTACTGTGTAGTCTACTACTATGCTTTTGTGATGAGATTAATTCAGTGTGCAACTTACAGAATAAAAATGAATGTCTTCAATTCTTAAACAATTAATTACAGTAGCACAATCAAATTGGAAAGAAGCATGCTATGGAAAGGAAGAACAGATTACTGTACCCAGTCATGGCAAGCAACAAGGAAATGATCTGACCCATGTGTCCGATTCCAGAAAGGATACTTCGCAGCAATCGTGTTTGTGTAGTCTCTTAGGAAAATTGAGAGTGGTTTCATATTATGTGAATTCGGTACATAAAGTGCCATCCCCAATTGGCGCATACTGTAAGGAAGATAAAATAAGTGGGCCTTTTCTGGATCCCTTGTGACAAACTGCCTGTTTTCCTCCATCAACTTCATGAACCATCCTTCAGAAGCATAAATTCCTCTGAGATGAGGTTGGTGAAAAATGGGCCTTGCTCCATCACGATATATGTAAACTTTAAGTATCAGTTCCATCAGTTCATAGCTCCTGAAATTAAGGCAAAATTATGGCTTTAAACGGTTCAGTAAAAAATGATTCTGATGGATCATTATCATAAGAACAGGAAGCCTGGTGAAATCAATGATTATCATAAGAACAGGAAGCCTGGTGAAATCAATGATTGAGTATATTGCCAGACATTCTAGCAACTATTGTTAGATATCTAGAAATACAAGTGAACATACACACAAAGAGGTATGATTTTGAAAAAGTAAAATAAATAACACTAACAATAAGTATTTTCCCATGTTTATATTGTACTGTCAGTTTTAACGAGTATTCATGCGTCTGAAAGAGAGAAACAGTGTTAATAACATAGATGCTGGACAAAGTTATAAATTTTACTGTAATATATAATTTCATAACTGCTCAAAATATGCATGTTGTTCATGCATAAAAAAAACCTCATGATGAAAATATGGATTCCAATCTTGATAAAACAATGTATAAGTTTCTGAAGGAAAAGAGAAAGCATGCCATGGCTACATGTTTTAACTAATGAATTCCATTCCATAGCCATCTAAAATTCATGTGACTGAGTTGCTCTTGCTTCACCATCAATTTCACAAACAAGAGGACACAGTGTTCATCAATTATTGCAACTTTTGTATATACATCATATTTGTACAAGAAAAAGGAATTGAACCTGGCTAGAGCAATACAACCAAGATAGCTTGTGATCACAAATATTGTTATATACTGAAAGGAATGTGTTTCTAATAATAAGTCCAAATCTTTGGCAACATTAGTTAGGTAAAATCTTTGGTACCCAAATAATAAGTCCAAGTTTCTGAAAAAGAAAAAACAAATTGCTGCATGCTTTATCATCCTAGTGCTCTACTGTAACTCAACAAGAACATGTATGGCTCGTCTAATAGATTCTTTAGACTCGTATAAATCTCAGATAAAGGGAAGGATGAGTAAATTTAAAAATGAACCCAACCAAGATTTAGAAAAGAAAAAATGCTTCTGAGTGGAGATACAATGGGACTTTATCAAAAGTCACAGTATTTTAAAATTTCTGATACCTTATAATCAGAAGATTTAAATGTCTCAGGATCTTCAGGGCTTTTGCACCATGATATGATACATAGAGCTATTATGGAGAAGAAGAAAATGGGTAAAGGTTTCATACCGTTAGAGACAAGCCCAAATATGAGTGACTAACAAAATTTTGCGACCAAGAACATGAAATGAATGAGGTTCATAGTACTGAGAAACTTAGAGATTCATGTGGTGAATAAGAAATTCAGAACAACTGAAGAACAGAACATGAGAACTAAGGGTCTTAAATATTTCTGAGAAACTTTAACAGTAAAATCCATCTTTAAATGTCTCTAAAATATTTCATTACATTCACAAAAGGATATGTAACATAAGTAACCTAATAGAAAAAAATTAGGACAAGTTAAATTTGAGCCCAAAGACATCCTTGAACTCAATGTCACTGATACTAACTTAGCCAGACTGCACATGCAGATAAGATTTCCTTTAACCAGTACTATGCCCAACCACTCTTACCATTTGTATATCAAATCTTGCATGTAAACACTGCATATACCTAGTAGGTGGCCTATGAGCAAATATACTTTTTTTCACATGAAGGACTAAATGAACATCCACAATTCCTAGAAGTTTGTATTCAAAATATGTATCACACACACACTGGTGCGCTTATGAACGATTGACTAGGATGACGAAGGAAAAATGGTGATGGCATTGTGAGATTACCTTTTGAAAACAGAAACGTTTCGAAATATAGGGGCATATAGATCAGGATCATCCTCCATAACTGCTGGGGCATGCTCAACCTCTTTCTTTGCATATACAAGTGCCTCTTTTGGTGTCAAGGACCAAATGAATTTCTAAATACGTATGCCACAGTGTTAAGATCATTGGTAGCATCTTTCTTTATCATAAACTCTATGAAAAAAGGAACAAGACTACCTGCATATGAGAAGGCACGGTTCTACGTGGAGGGGGAGGAGGAGGGACGACCTTTGACATGTTATCAACTTTCGAATCTTTTCTTCTCCTTCTAGATTTCCCCCTAGGAGGAACTAAGGCTGCAACTGGCATAATTGGCACTGAGAGATTCAGATCAATAGGAGGATTTGGTGAAACAATGGGGGCACCAGAAATTATTTGCAATCTTTTGACCCTTGCCTCAGTAGAGGTCTTATTCAAGCTGAGGCTACTGTTCAAGGGTTTATCTGATGGAATTGCGACAGGCAGAGAGAGGAACCACATATCCAGAGGATCATTAAGTATAAACATTTGCAACATGACACAGGATGCTGTCATGATGGCCCCCGCAAAAAATATCTTTTTCCAGTCAATTTTATACCCGCCAAAGAGCCGGATAAATTCTTTCATTAGGATCACAGCAAGGCTCTCACATAAAGTTTTCATCTCATCATACTACAAGATTTCCACCTCGCCAACATATAAAAAAGTGAATCCCCAGCAACCATGAGCTTATTAATCTACAATTCTCCTAAATGAGAGTCCAGGTCCAGAAATTTCAGCTTTCGTAACAAGGTCTGCCCAAATTTTCAAACTACCTACGTGTTTGATAATGTCCAAGCCTTATCCCTCTCTCTGAAAGGTGTAAACTCCACAAAATTTGGTAAATCAGCTTCCTAGTAAAGTATCAAAAAATGAGAGAGAGAGATTACAGAACTAGTCAAAATGACTATCATCATGTTTTTGCAGTGATCAAAGACAAAATTATGGGAAACCATAGATAGTTCTACCAGAAGTCAGAACACAACATAAATACCAAGTGATAATGAAACTAACTTTTACTTAGATTATAAAGCGGAGAGAAACTAAAAAAATTATTCTTCGAAGTTTATGTTACAAGTTCCTATCTCATGCTTTTGCAAAACCATAGCATGCATTGTCAGACTGAAACTACTTAGAATTTCTCATCAAATTCCAGTAAAAAACAACTTGAATTCACAACAATCAGATTACATCATGTTGAAAATCTTGCTAAGTATCAAAATCCAATAGTCTGGAGAAAACCCAATATGCTAAATTCAATTCTGCACAGTTTAAGAACAGAAAAAAAAAATAAGAAAAAAAAGAGCAATACTGTTCTTCATCTAATTCAAATAAAAAATACTACCTTTTTCGATCATTTTAGTTGTTTTTGGTTAGTTGTATTAAAAAGGGGTCCCTGACTGAAAAAATTTATCTTTTTTTCTTCTGGGTATTAAAGGAAATTCGAGTTCCAGAATTAGAAAAGCAATAGATTAACACAAGACCGAAAAGTAAAACAACATATAATGTTATGTATGTGGGTAGAAATCATACCTTGATCCAGTGAGCTAGAGCAGAGTCAGCTGAGCTAAAATGGGAACGAATCGAATTCGAAGAAGCTGATGGATCTAAGACACAGAAGAGAGAGAAAGGTTAGGGAGGGAAACAGAGAGAGAGAGAGCTAGCGAGACAGACGGTAACGGTTCTCGACTTTTGGTAATAAAAATAGACCTTTTGAATATTTTGACTAGTCAATCCGTCAAGTTCAACTGCTCAAACGACTACTAAATAAATAAATAAAACAATTAAATAAGAGGAGGGGCTAGTTAGCGACAGTTTAGCATTGCTAAACTTTTTGGCTTTAAGCTGTCAATTGTGTGTCAACCAAGTTAAGAATTAATTAAATAAAAGTCTTTAGACCAAAATAAATAAATAAAAATCATATTCATGCATCATATTCATTTAAAAAAAAAATACTTACGTGAAATGGAGATAGCATAATTTAGTTATTTATGGCTAATCATGACATGCTACGCGTGATAACTTTTTCACGTGTCAATATGTGATTAGCCGAACATAGAAAAACAGTATTATTCTCGTTTTATACAAGTTTTTCTGTTTTTTTTTGTTGGGTCAATGTCATTTGATGATAAAATTGTATGAAATCCTTGAAAATGTGTGCTTAAAATAGTCACCAAAAGAATAAGTATATGAAAGGGTAGCTTTGCTAGAAGGTAGAGTGCATTTAAGTTTAACTCAAAACTTGTAGGGAGCATGGCATGGAAGGTGTCCCGAGTTGGGAGAGGAACTTGTTCTGGTGTTTGGTGATGGACAAGTGAAGTTCTATTTTTGAGATGTTTTAACGAGACTACATATTTTCATGTCGATATTATTGTTTGATTTATAAGGTTGATGAAATTTCATTCACAATAAAAAATAATTAAAAAAAAAAACTTTAATTTAATCGTTTGACTTCAAAAGATTACCCATCATACATTTTCTTTGATCAGTTTCTTTCTATATAAATTGTACGTTCTTATTGGGCATATAATTAGAGAGCTAGTACATTCTTGTTTGAAAATACATAGTCAACGATGTGTTCCTTCAATTTTGGTTGTCACCAAGAAATTGAAAAGGTAAATGCAACTGTCACTTGAATTTCAAAAGAGACAATATCTTCATAAATTGAGATCCTAAAAATATTGAAAATTGAAACAAACAGAATAATTTACAAAAGGGTATTATAGGAAGTAGAACAAGGAAATTTTAAAAATAAATTTTAAGAAAGGGGTACAATCTAACGTTAAGCTTTCTGGCATGAAGGTTGTGTTGTCTTAAGGTGACATATCAAGTGGAGATGCTCTTCGCAATACGCCCACAACATCATATGTCTTTTTTTCCCGACTAAACGTGAGCCTAATTAATTCATATAAAATAATTAATAAAAAGAATAATTTATTGTTGTCTTTGGATGTATCCAAGGTTGAAAAATTAAAAAAATCTCGAAAAATCCAATAAAAAAATTATCCTTCAACCAATCAAGTATAATATGAATCAAATTTAGTCAATCCAGAAAGAGAGAGAGAGAGAGAGAGAGAGAGAGGAATAATAGGCATTGCTTATTTCATGCGAAAAAAAGAAAGAAAAAAGAGAGGATATTAATGTCCTCTTAATTTATCCAATTGATAAGGGTTTTATTTATTGTTATTATTATTATTATTTGCTACAGGTCTAGCAAGGCAACAGGCATACACAAAAATATATTTCATTTGGAGTGGGCGGTCTTCCCTCGCAAATTGACACACTGTCGGGCTCAGCCTGCGAACATCTTAAACTGCATTCATCTTCCTTTCCTGGCCGGGGTGGCCCTCTTGGCTCGGGGCAATATGAACCATATATAATCTTTCTGCAACTGGGATCAGCCGACGTCACCTCTTCAAAAACAAAACAATCAAATTTTCAAAATTACAATGACATTTTCGACATTTTTTTTAAAATTTTTTTAGTAAAAGCAATTGGGGAGAGGTGTTTATACAAATGAATTGGGTGCCTCGGAGTTTCAAATCTCTACCCACATAGATAGAGGTGAAAGAGGTCAACCAACTGAGCTATACCCCGTATCCACATTCATATTTATCAAACAAGACATTGTCATGCATGCATCTGCCACATTATATAGAGACTAAAATTTGGGTCCACTCTAAATTTCAGGCTTACCGTTTGAGTTATTTTCTTTGACAATCGCTTTCGTGAACATAGCTGACGAAAAAACAAAATCTTGAGTTAGTTATGCCAGTTGATATACGTAGAGATTTACAATGAGACGTTGAAAGTATATATATATATACCTGAACCAAGAAGAACAAGGGTGATCAAAAAGTTGAGTTGCGGCAGCACCTTCGCCATCTTCACCTTACAACTAGTACTTTGGCCCCTGACAGAGATAGCTTTGGACTCGTGGTTGTTGTTATGGTGGTGAGGTTGAAATGAATTTATAGAGTTGAAATATGAATTAATCACATAATTACTTGCAAGGATCAATATTTACATAACAAATCATGGTAATTCATTTTCAAAATGCTAAGATCATGTCTAACCAGATTTTTTTTTCTTATGCGCCAAATGTATAATTAGATTTCTTGTATGAAAAAAACAATGTAACAAATCAGATTTACTTATTTCCATGTACTATATGATCTTATAGCAGTATTTGCCAATATCATTAGTAGCCCATCATTCATGGCCAAAAATAAGCATGTAGAAATTTCAAGAATAATAGGCATTGCCATAATTTGCATTTTTGCCTATTTATGGTCAAAATATGTAATCTAGAAATTTCAAGAAAGTATCTTGTTGTGTATGTCAAATGGAGGAAAAAATCTAGTAAATCGTTGGAGATATTATCATGATTTTATGGGATAATTCTTATAGAAATTGTCTTTGATTTGCTTGAGACACAAGACAGCATATTTTTGGGAATGAATTGAACTTCATGCAATGCCAAATTTTTGGGAAGTTTCTTATTATATACTTATTTAGTAATTGCAAAAGGCAATAATGCCAATGTGCCATGAGAGTTTGAACCCAATAGGGGCTCTGGCAGAAGGTACCACCAGACACCCAATCACAGCAGAAGACATGTTAGTAGGGCGAATAGGTTGTCTTTGACGTAGGCGAAGGCCATTGCCTCTGATAAGCCGAGTGTCCTTGTACGACTACTTTGTCCTGCGGCATATGCTAATCTAATAACGCGATCTAGGAAGGGTGGCTTTGTTGCCTTTATTTTGATCTATTGCTGAAGCAAAATGAAAAAGACAATTGGCCGATCCCCGTGGCAAGTGGTTTCCGTAAGGGTAATGGTGGGTTTTTTTTTAGCGAGATCTATCTTTCCAAGTTTGAATTTTTGTTAATTTCTTCTAGCTTGGAAATCTGGTAGATCCATTGTCGCGATGGATGACTACTAGAAATCCCTGCCTTGATCGTTTTCGGAAAGTGCCTTCTCCTTTTTGTTTGGTTTAAGGCGTGAGAGGGGACGTGGAACTATTACTATGATTCTCATTATTCTCATTTCGTTTTCTACTAAAAAGAGGAACACGGGAAAAAAAAAAGTTTAAAAAAAGTGCAAAGAGGCGATTCATGACTCTAGCATAAAAAAACATCACATTAATCCCTAAGTTGTGGATGATTGAGACAACTCTAAGATCTTGTTTGTAGTTTTAGTTTAAAATGTTGTACTCATTGGTTTTGCTGGGAAATATTTGGGAGAAGGATAGTGCACCATTAGTTGAACCATGTCTCTCGGATCTCTTGGAAAACATTTGGGTTAAGGGGGCTATTGTTTACTTGAGGCATGGTTTTAGCCCTGGTGTGGAGCTCATTAGTAGTCTGACTTTGAGAAGAAAATGGTGGGAAAGAACTCAGTTAAAAGCATGCCAGCAATCTCAGCCCACAACGAAAAGAAAAACAGTCTCTACACTGCCGCGTCAAGCTAGGCCTGAAACCCCCCTTCTCCCAAAAGAGAGAAGAAAAGCGATATTAACAACAAGACGAGTAGTCTGTACCGCAAGCAATAACATAAGTGGTACCGCAAGTCGTACGTTCAACAATTATTATACTAAAAAAAGTGATAATGCAAGAAATGATTGCTTAATTACGATGAATATAGTCCTTAGAGATGAGACAGAGTCCCCCAGGACAACTTTCTTTAGAAGATGCGACTAGCGCATTGTATTGGTCGGAGGGGACTCAAGCCCTCATCAATTAAGAGGAATAAGCCCCTCGCCTCACTCGTCAACTGTTATCATGACCTCTCGATTCTTCCCGAATTGGAGGATCACCTTTGACATGCTCCACATTCTATTGACTTGTAGAAAAATTCTTTTGTTGTACCTTCTGCAAAGAAAAGTATGAGCTTCTACCATGTAGAAGGCATTATAACTAAAGTATGTGACCTCAAAAATCAACATCTATATTTTGTCGCTACCCTTTTAGTCCTTTCAATGTTTATCTTCTTGCATGAGAATGATTAGTGCTTTCGTTCACTAAGCTAATCGAGTTGCTCATGGGAAGGAGCATGTGGGCGAGAAGGACCTTTATTCATCTTCGAACGGAGCTCGAATTGAATCTGCCCCCGTGTTTACTTTTTTGATTATGTATGACCTTCTCATCAACATATGTTTCCCGAATAACCATTCATTTAATGAAAAATTTGCGCTTGTTAGCAGCTGAATCAATCTCTCCTCTTGCAGTAGGCCTCTTTTCTTTCCCTCACTGGCATAAAGAAGGGCCCATTTCACTAACTCTTCTTCTGTGAGAATAAATAGAGGGGTGCGTTTTCCCTTTGAATGAGAGTAGATTTTCCGGCCCATGTGCCCCCCTTTATTGAATGCTCTTGAGGTTCGAAAAGAAGACTAAGTGGACATGAGGCAGGGAAGTTAAATTACAGAAATGATAGTCGTGAACTGGTATAGCGATACTGCCTACTTTGGTTACTCCTTATTGTGATCCCTCACTCTGGGCTAAGAGAGTCTCTTAAGTGCTAGCGTAGCGGGAGAGCAAATAGCAATGAACCTTATCTAAACTATTAGTTCTCTCCTACCTAGAGCTTTCTACGAGAGGAAAACGGTATAGGCAAATTGACGCATCTGAGCAAGCATGGAATACTTAGTGCTTGGAAT